ACCTATTAATTACAAATGGAAAAAGAGTAAATTTATAGTGGAGAAACCTGGCAAGTACCTTTTAACCAGATTATCAAAGTTAACATCATCAATAATACAACACATTGAAATCATATGCTACCTGATAGAACACAGCACCATGTCTGTGATTTTCCTACCAAAGATGCATAAACTGAATATAATTATGAGGAAACATCAGATAAACTCAAATGGAGGGTTTTCTGCAAAATAACTTTCCTGTGATCTTTAAGAGTGTCAAGATCATGAAAGTCAAGAGAGACTAAGGAACTGTTCCAGACTGAAAGAGAGTAAAGACATGACAACTAAATATGGTATGTGATCTTATAACTTTTGTTATAAAGGACATTAATGGTTCATTTGGGGAAAATTGAATGGTGTCTGAGATTAGATGGTTGTAGTTATTTTTCTGATTTCAAAAGTTTTATTGTGGTTATGCAAAAATGCCATTGCTTGTAGGAAATACACTTAAGGTATTCAAGAATGATGAAGCATCTCAAATGGTTCAGGAGAAAAGATTCTTTGTATTGCACTTGCAACTTTTCCATGATTTTGAGATTATTTCTAAAAAATGAATACATGCATTCGGAATCCAACTGCTTTATCACCTGTATCCCTTTTACAAAAGCCCGAGCCATCTCTTGCTTGCATTATTGCTTAAGTCCACCATAATTATTTTATTTTCTCTCATGGCTTCTGTGGGTCAGTAACTTGCAAAGGGCTCAGCTGGATGGTTTTTGGCTTGAGTTGTCTCAGGCAGGTGAAGTCAGATTGCTGGAGATGGAGCACCAAGGGGATGAAGCACTACTCTCTCCATGTAGTCTCAGGGCCTCCCTAGGTGGCTTTTCCCTGTGAGCTAATTTGGGCTTCCTTACAGCATGGTGGCCTCAGAGTAGTCAGACTCCATGTGTGGGAGCTGTGGGCTTCCAGAATGAGTGTTGCAGTGAACAAATCAGAAGCTGCATTGTCTCCCATGACCTAGCCTTGCAAGTCACACAGCACCACTTCCACCATACTCCATTGGTCAAAAGAGTCACACAAGCACACCCAGTTTAAAGATGGAGGGGTTATGAACCCTATCTCTTAACTGAAGAACTGTCAAGTCATATGTAAGACGAGCATGTGGACTGGGAGGTGGTGGCATGGCCATCTTTGGATGATACCATTTGCCACAGTGGCTTATGAGATGACAGCAACCCTATGAGATCTGGACCTACCTTCTTGAGTTTTCCTATCATTCTCCTTCTTGCTGTCTTTGCTCCAGGCACAGGGGTTCTTTACTGTTGTTTGAAAACTCAAGCACACTCCTCCCTCAGGGCCTTTGCACTTGCTCTTCTCTCTCTAGAACATTCTTCCCCCAGATATCTAAATGGCTTGCTCTAAAATTTCTTTTAGATTTTGAATGGTCAGCCTTTCTAACAACCCTTTCTTTACCTACATAAAATAGCAACAGCCCTACCATCACCCTGCTCTCCCTTTTCCCTGCTATATTTTTCTCCATGGCACCTATAAACACCTGCCATCCTATATATTTACTTATGTGTTTGCCTCTTTTCTCTCTCCCCACTGGAATGTAAGCTCCATGAGAACAGGACTTTACCTATTTTGTTCAGTATTAGAACTGCTGTCTTCAGCCAAGAGCTGCAGAGGAACTGAGACCTGCCAACAGCTGCAAGGGTGAGCTTGGAAGTAGATCCTCCCCAAGGCATGACTTGAGATGACTGTCATCCCAGCCAATACCTTAATTGCAGCATTGAGTCAGAAGCACCTAGCTAAGCTGTGTCAAGATTCCTGACCTGTGGAAAACGTGATAAGTATTGTTGTCTGAAGCTGCTAAATTTGGGGAGTTTGCTACACAGCAATAAGTAACTAATACAGAGTCCTTCTGTGGTAGATTGTTACAATAATGGTTCCCAATAAATCATACCTCTCAGAATCCATGCCCTTGTATAGTCCCCTCACACACTGACTCTGGGTTTGGCCATGTGACTTGCTTTGGACGATGGAACATCACAAAGTGTTGAGGCAAGAACAGTTTTTTGTTTGTTTGTTTTGTTTTGTTTTAAGATGACCGGTAAGGGGATCTTAACCCTTGACTTGGTGTTGCCAGCACCACACTCTCCCAAGTGAGCTAACTGACCATCCCTGTATAGGGATCCAAACCCGTGGCCTTGGTGTTATCAGCACCACACTCTCCCAAGTTAGCCACGGGCCAGTCCAAGAACAGGTTTGAGAAGTACTTGCACATTGACACTTGTCCTCTAAGAATCCTGAGACCACCAAGATCTGAAGAAGCCTGAGACAAAAGACCATGTGGAAAGAGGCTCAGCTGTCCACATTGTTCCAGCCATCCCAGCTGAGCTGCCAGTTGTAGGCACACGAATGAGCCCAAGGGAGATGAGCAATAAAACCTACACAATTGTAATAAATAAGACATCATGTTGTATTAAGCACTAAAGTTTGGGATGGCTTCTTACATTGGTGGGTAACCAATGCACCTCCCTTCCCTTTGTAATCTCACCCTTCCAGGCTTCTTTTCTGATCTCTTTACTCTACTACAATCTGTTATGGCTTCTCGGACACTAAACCCTTCTATTCTTTTATTCTCATTTACCTAACTCATGTGTGAACCAACATATATGCATGTGTACACATTTCCTGGAAACATGGTGTATTCATTTCCTAGGGCTGCTGTAACAAAGTACCAAAAACTGGGGGGCTTAAAAGAATAGAAAGTTATTCTCTCGTAGTTCTAGAGGTCACAAGTCCAAAATCAAGGTGTCAGCAGGGTTATGCTCTCTCAAGGTCTCCAGGGAAGAATTAGTTTCATGCCTTTCTCTTGGCTTCTGGTGTTGCAGCAATCTTTGGTGTTCCTTCTCTGCCTCCATCACAGCACAGCGTTTCCCCCCCACACACACCTGCCTTCACAACATATTGGATTAAGGGCTGACCATACTCCAGAATGACCTCATCTAAACTAATTGTGTCTGCAATGACTCTATTTTTAAATAATGTCATGTTCTGAGGTACTTGGGATTAGGACCTCAACATATCTTTTCTGGGGATATGATTCAACCCATAACACATGCCTATAATCCCCCCCCCCCGCCACTGTACATTCTAGAACTCTTAAATACCAGTCTTCAATATTGCAAAATATTAATTCTTAGTGTTTAATCAATTAACATTTGTTGAATGCCTACTATGTACAAAGAACTCATTTGGTTCAAATTAATCTGTACAAAACACTTGGACATATATAGTTTGAGCACCCCTTGTGAGATAAAAATTAAATTAAATCTGTATTAATTAGAACTCAGTGTCTTTACTACAGCAGCCAGTTAAGCAGTGAAGAACAGACCCATACAAATTCCTGTGTATGGCGAAATGACGACGCTAGGCATAGTTGCCAGGAGATTTCTCAGTTTGGCAGTTACTTACTCATTTGTAATCAACAACCCTTAGCAAAGCCAAAGTTAGTTGGCCTTTTGTGGGCCTGTTAATGTGACCAGAACGCTCAGCTTCCCTCCCCTCGTCCCCATGCCCCATGACAGGATGATTTCTTGGCCATTTTTGTTTGTTTGAACAGTTTTTCTTCTAAGCCAAATTTCCCCGAGATTTTCTTTCAGGTCTCTTCTGGGGCTGAAACCTCAAATGCTCCAGGCTTTGGAATTAGAAGTACTTAATCTACACCTTCAGGTTTTCCAGTATTGCCTAACTTGAACTTGTCCAGACTTTTTCATTCTTTTGTCAGTTTTGTTTTTCTCATCCTTTCATCTATGTTGCTTACTTAATCCCTTTCCTTTCTTTCCTTGGGTTATTTTGATATCCTTTTTCTAACTACATGAACTGAATGTTTAATTCATTCATTTTCATTCTTGCCTGCTTAGTAATGAATATGTATGACTATTAATTTTCTTTCTAAGTCCAGAGAGTTGTCTATCTATTGAAATTCATTACCCACTCACCCAGCTCAGATTTGCTCCCAGAGCAAGGCTTCGCAAACCATCCCTCTCTGAAATAATTTTCTATCTCCTTTGAAATTGAAAGCAGTTTGGCCTGCTCATTTATTAGCCTCCCAGGAAGATGGCACTGTGTTTATTTTCATGGAGGCTTCTTTCTGATGATAAAAGCACAAAGAGATGATGATAAATGGACAACCTTTATTGAATACCCACCCTGTAGCTGGCATTGTACTAAGTACTTGACAAACAGCTTATTTTAACCACTCCATATTAATCTTCCATGTCCATTTTACAGATAAAATGGTACTTAAATGTTTGTCTTGTGTCTCCATTCTTGGAACATGCCAAGCATTCAGTTTAGGGCCTGGCCCCTTGTCTGTGTCACTCTCCCCCTGTATTCTAATACAGTAGTCGGAGTAAATGCCACTTCTTCAAAGCTTTACTGACCACCCGATCTAAAACCCTCCACCCTTTCACAGTTCTGTTTTATTCATAGACGATCTCAGATTACGTTGCTCTTTTATTTGCTTCCGCATTAGGATCTGCCTCCCCCACTATAACCTCCAAGGAGCAGAAACTTTGTCTTGTTTACCACAGAGTTCTCGGAGACCCCTAAGAACAGAATCTGACACACAGTAGGCACTGAACGAATATTCACAGAGTGAACATTTCTGAAGGCAAACAAAGGAGTCTGAGAAGCCAGTACTTTGGAGAGTAAGCTGGGGCTCTGCAGAGTAGCTCTCCGGGCTCTTCCCCGGATCACACTCAGGCTCAGAGTAAAAGTAACAGCTGCTTCTGAGCCCGAGTGTGATCCGGGGAAGTAAGAGACACCTCTCTCTAGATGTGTGACTTAAAGCACCTCACTCAATGAAAACTGGGTTTATTCCGGGTCTCTTCTCATGCGTCATGAGAAGAGAGCTCCTGCAGGCTCGTTGTCACCCCCTGTGAGGCTACAAAGAGCGGGGGAGGAGAGGTCGCTCTGCAGCAGAGTAGGAGTTAAGAGGCAGGGGAGGGGAGAACGTGGAGCGGCCGCAGACCGGGGTCGTCTGGTGATCCAGGGGAGCAGAGGGGGAGGGGGACGGGCGGGGGCACCAGGTAGAGGTGGGCAGGCGGTGCCAAGGGGCACGGAGCAGGGCTCGGTGTACCCTGCTGGCACTGGGCAGGACAGGGTCTGGCACCGTCCAGGCGCGAGGGGTGGAAAAAGGATGTTGGGGAGGGGGGATGGAGTGCAGCAACCAAGTGGCGCCCAGGGGTGACTAGAGGTAGGAAGGGGGCGCACAGGGGCTGCCAAGGGTGCACAGAGGGGAGCGTGGACTATCGCCCGGGACTGGTGAGGACGGGGAGCCGGGTCGGGGGGAGCTGAAAGCAGGTGAATCTGAGGGGAATGGCGGACGTGCAGGGGTTGCCGAGGAGACCTCGGGGAGCCCCAGCGGGCGAGGGGAGCAAAGGGGATGCGGAGGGGCAACTAGCGTTGTAAGACTAGAAAGGGGGCGCGCAGGAGTTGTCAAGGGCGCATGGAGGGGACGCTGTCTATCCAGTTGGGACTCGGCGGGACAGGGCGCGGAGATGGATCTCAGAGGAGTGAAGGGCATGCGGCTGTCTCTGAGGAGACGTGGGGAAGCGCCCCGCAGCGGAGGGATGCGGAGGGGGTCGCCGAGGGGCGTGGCCTGAGCGGGCTGGGCTGGGCCGGGCGCCGGGGAGGGGGCGCGCGGGGTCGCCGAGGGGCGTGGCCTGAGCGGGCTGGGCTGGGCCGGGCGCCGGGGAGGGGGCGCGCGGGGTCGCCGAGGGGCGTGGCCTGAGCGGGCTGGGCTGGGCCGGGCGCCGGGGAGGGGGCGCGCGGGGTCGCCGAGGGGCGTGGCCTGAGCGGGCTGGGCTGGGCCGGGCGCCGGGGAGGGGGCGCGCGGGGTCGCCGAGGGGCGTGGCCTGAGCGGGCTGGGCTGGGCCGGGCGCCGGGGAGGGGGCGCGCGGGGTCGCCGAGGGGCGTGGCCTGAGCGGGCTGGGCTGGGCCGGGCGCCGGGGAGGGGGCGCGCGGGGTCGCCGAGGGGCGTGGCCTGAGCGGGCTGGGCTGGGCCGGGCGCCGGGGAGGGGGCGCGCGGGGTCGCCGAGGGGCGTGGCCTGAGCGGGCTGGGCTGGGCCGGGCGCCGGGGAGGGGGCGCGCGGGGTCGCCGAGGGGCGTGGCCTGAGCGGGCTGGGCTGGGCCGGGCGCCGGGGAGGGGGCGCGCGGGGTCGCCGAGGGGCGTGGCCTGAGCGGGCTGGGCTGGGCCGGGCGCCGGGGAGGGGGCGCGCGGGGTCGCCGAGGGGCGTGGCCTGAGCGGGCTGGGCTGGGCCGGGCGCCGCCGGGGTGCGGAGCGGGCGAGCGCGCAGGCCAGGCCGAGGAGGCCCCGCGGTGTGCGCGGCCGGGGCCTCTGTCCGCAGCCATGGGGGCGTCCACGCGGCTGCTGCGCGCGGTGATCATGGGGGCCCCGGGCTCCGGCAAGGGCACCGTGTCGTCGCGCATCACCAAGCACTTTGAGCTGAAGCACCTCTCCAGCGGGGACCTGCTCCGAAACAACATGCTGCGGGGCACAGGTGGGAGCCCGGGGAGGAGGGCTGGCCGGGCGCGGTCGCACGGGTCGGGCTTTGCGGGAGGACGAACCGAGGCCGGGGGTGCGGGTCCCGGGGACACGGGCTCAGCATTTCCCTCTCGCCGCCGCCCTCAGAGACCTCGGGCTGCTGCGTGACTGCGCCCCAAAACCTCCGGCTTCCGTGGGCAGCTTCGGGCGGGTTGTGGGGAGAAGGGACGAGGACGTAAGGACTCTCTCGAGGTTCAGAGGCGAAAGGAAAGCACTGGGCTCTGAGAGGCTCTTCCTGCCCCGAACGCTGGGCTGGGGCTTCTCCTCCACGTGCCCGTGACCGTGGAAAACTGGGGTTAGTCCTGCTAGGCTTTGCTTTCTCTTCTCTGACTTTTTCTTTTTGGTTAAACTCTATGGGATCTTGTAGTTCTGACCTTTCCTCCATGATCTGAAGGTCGAGTATTATTTACCCTTGTTGCAGTCACAAAACTGGCTTAGATGTTGATGTACCCAGAGATTTCTTAGACATGAAAGCTATTCTTGTGCGTGGTTACATAAAAGATTGTTTTGTTTCTCATGCCCGATAAATTCTTATAACTCAGCACAAAATTCAGTTAACAAGCTGTACGCTTTGCAACGGGTGAATTTGTGGTATGTAAATTCTATTTTTAGAAGGCTCTTTTTAAAGTCAACAGCACTGTGAGTTTTTATCTCAAAAGTATTGACCTTTACTTTCCAGAACAGAACCTATTTTGAAACTCATTTTGAAGCCATTTACATAGAAATAATGCCTGCATGGTTAAAAAAGAGAGAGAGAGAGAGAAACAGGATAGACGTGCATAAAATAAAAGTAAAGCTCTCTCTCATTCCCTGCCTCAGTCCCGTTCTTCACAGAGGAACAGTGTGTTTCCTTCTAGAAATGTGTATGTACAAGCACATATATGTATGTCCTTTATTTTATGTAATGTAAAATCATACTATACGTGTTCTCTGCAGCAGTATGTTTTCACTGTATATCTGGGATATCTTTCCACATGAAGACGTAGAAATCCATTTCATTCTGTTTGTATAGAGATCTGTTTGCTGACTGTACTCTTATTTAACCAGTCCCCTCTTGATGGGCATTTAGCTTATTTCCGGGTGGGGTTTTTTGTTTGTTTGCTTGTTTCAAAAATACTGACATTTAAATGAGAGGGAAAAAAAAAAAGAATCAGCCCAGTGTCTCTTGAAGTTCTTTTAGTTCAGTACTTAGCATCTCTGGCTGGTGTATTACTACTTTTATTTCTTTCTCTGGTAACATTGGCATTAAAAATAATAGTCTTGTAATTAATTAAACTTCTGCAAAAGGTTAAGTTTTTTGACTCTTGCTAAGTGCTCTGCATGCACCGTATGGAAGTTGTTAGGTAACTAAACAGTCGTGAGTACTGCCACTGGTTGGAGTAAAGTTATCCAAACAAAGTGCAAGGGAGTAAAGAATCCTTAAGGGATTCTCTGAAAACTTACTGAGCAGTGAGGCACAATTGTGTGGTGAGGAACACCTTCAGCAAAGCGTCAAGGGTACATTAATTTATGAAAACATAAAACATTTTTTTAAAAATTAGCTTAAAAGACAAAAAAACTTTTTAAAAATTAAGAAACAGTGCTCCTTGTTTATCTTTAACACTCCCTGACATTCTTGCTGACCTCTTCCCCAGCTCCACAACATGAAAGGAGAAGCTAGAGGGGGGAAGGAGGGAAAAGATATTCAGCTGCCTTGGGCGCCTGCCCATTCTGGAGTCTTTATGGGGAATTCTTTAACAAGAAGAACAAAAAATGGCGCTTGGGGAGGTATCACGAGGTTGTTATTACAGATGTTCTGTATCTCAAGACTAAGAATATATTCTTAATAAATATTTGTGAATGGATTGGGTATTTCCCACAGGATCACAGCCAAAAGAGAGGTGTAATCTTAAAAAAAATAATAAATGGTGCCTAATATTTTCTCATACTAAAAGTAAAGCATAAAGGAAGAAAAATATGTCATGAGAATATAAAAAAAGGAGAATTAAGTCCTCCATAATTCTTCCTTGCCACAGAGACAGTTATAATGAACGCTTTGGTGCTATTTCTTTTTTTTTTTCTCTGTTGCATTTGTATGTTTTTGCAAAATCGTTACCTAGATACCTAAATGGTTACCTAGATACTTTTTAATTCTCATTTATTGTGAGCATGTTCACACATCATTAAGCAGTCTAAAAACGATAGTTAATTTCATCAAGGTTGCATAATTATTAAACATTTTCCTATTACTGGACATTCATGTTGTTAACAATTCTTTGCTATAATAAATACTGCTACGACCATCTTTGTACATGAACGGTTGACAACATCTTTGCTTGTTTCCTTCAAATAAATTCCTAGTACAGAATTTCTACAAATATGGTACCATCAAATAATGCTTCAGAAGGATTTTGCCAATTTACTCTCCAACCACAATTTCATGAGAGACTATAGTTTATAACCCATGGCTGTATTTCATAGCTAAAGTTTAAAATCACCCCAGGATATGTGATATGGACACTGGAAACACTAGGCAACTCATTGATAGTAGCAAACCTGGAATAACCAGAGGCTACCACTGGATGCTGGAGTCAGGAGACTTGAGTCTGACACTTAGACATTTAGTAAATCTTTTCATTTAAAGAGGAGGAAACTAAGTTCAGGAGAGATTAAAGAACTTGTTCAGTAATAAACAGCATTCACTGGAGGACTAGGGTGAAAACCCAGGTTTCCTTGTGTGCCAGTTAAATACTCTCTACTATTTCCCAAATTGAGGTTCATGAGATAATTTTAGGTAAACAAAAATTTATTTCAAAGTACATTTGAAAAAAGTAACTCGCACTCCAAATCTGTATTTCATGACCACTATAGCTTATTGATTTAAAAAGCTGAGTCATTTTAAAGAAAACTGTATAATAAATAATAGTTCACCTGTGGTAGAAATTGTAGGGTTGACATGTGATTGCTCAAAGTTTGAGAATCTCATGTATTCTCATCTTTACGTTGGGGGGAGTTAAACTCAGTAGATTGACAAGACCTCTGTCAGCTCCCACGTTCTTTATATCTAATAAAACATTATTATGTACACACATGGAGCATAGGTATGCATAATTAGGATGATATTAATGGTAGAGAAAATTATTTTTGTAATGGTAGAAAATTTAAGTTGGTTTGGAATTCCAAAAAATATAAAAGGATATTTAGTGAAAAAGGTCCTTTCAACATATTTCATGCACATATAACTAAATGTCTACCTGTTCTTCCCCGTTTGTGTGTTTTACACAAATGATAGCACACTGTACATCCTATACATACCTTTAACAATACTGCTTTCCATGAGTGCCCCATTTCCTTTTTTTCCCTAACAGCTTTATTGAGATATGATTCACATACCATATAATTTGCCCATTTAAAGTGTAATTCAGTGGACTTTAATGTATTCAGAGTTGTGTAGTCATCACCACAATAATTTTAGAACATTTTCATCATCCACAAAAGAAACCTCATTTAGCGATCACTCCCATTCCCACCCCCACCCCACCCCACCCCACCCCACCTCACCCCACCTGAGCCTCTACTCACTAATCCACCATCTGTCTCTCTTGATTTGCCTGTTCTGGACATTCTTAAAATATGTGGTCTTTTCTGTCTGGCTTTTTTTCGCTTAGCATAGTGTTTTCAAGGTTCACCCATGTTATAATATGTATCAGTACTTCATTTCTTTTTATTGCTGAGTAATATTTCATTTTGTGGATATACCACACTTTATTTATCCATTCATCAGTTGATGGACACTTGGGTTGTTTCCACTTCTTGGCTATTTTGAATAATGCTGCTGTGAGCATTCATGTACAAGTTTTTGTGTGGACACGTTTTTATTTCTCTTGGGTGCATACCCAGGAGTGAAACTGGTAGGTCATGTGGTAACTCTGTTTAACTTTTTGAAAAATTGCCACCCTGTGTTTCAAATTGGCTACACCATTTTATAATCCTAGCAGCAATGTATGAGCTTTACCATTTCTCCACATTCTTGCCAATACTTGTTATCATCTGTCTTTTTGATTATAGCCATTTTAGTGAGTGTGAAGTGGTCTCATTGTGGTTTTCATTTGCATTTCCCTAATGACTAATGATGTTGAGCATCTTTTCTTGTGTTTATTTGCCATTTATATATCTTCTTTGGAGAAATATGTATTCTGACCCTGTGCCCATTTTTAAATGTATTATTATTATTGAGTTGTAAGAGTTCTTTAGTTATTCTAGACACAAGTTCCCTATCAGATTATGATTTGCAAAAATTTTCTCCCACCTTGAATTGTCTTTTCACATTCTTGATGGTGTTCTTCAAAGCATAAAAGTTTTTTTTTTTTCCTTTTTGTCTTTTTTTTACTGACCGGTAACGGGATCGCAACCCTCGGGGTCGCGCCCATACTGGGGACCGGCAACAGGATCGCAACCCTCGGTGTTGCGCCCGCACCGCTCAGCCAGTGAGCGGAAACCGGTCTCCACATGGGATCCGAACCCTCAGCGGGAACGCCACCGCGCTCCCAAGCGACGCACTCTCCAGTGCGCCACCGGGCCGGCCCAAAGCATAAAGGTTTTTAATTTTAATGAAGTTTGGTTCATCTATTTTTACCTTTGTTGGTTGTGCTTTTGGTTTCGTATTTAAGAAACCATTGCCTAATGCAAAGTCATGAAGATTTACAGCTATGTTTTCTTTTAAGAGTTTTATAGTTTTAGCTCTTATGTAAGTCTGTGATCCATACTGAGTTAATTTTTATAGATGGTGTGGAGTAGAGGTCCAACTTCATTCTCTTGTTTCAGGGTATTCAGTTGTCCCAGCAGCATTGTTGAAAGGACTATTTTCCCCTCATTGAATTGTCTTGGCATCCTTATTGAAAATCAATTGACCATAAATTTGAGGAGTTATTTCTGGACTCTTCATTCTATCCCATTAATCTATATGTGTTTTTATGCAAGTACCACAAAGTCTTGATTGCTATTTTGAAATTGGAAGTGTGTGTTCTCCAACTTTGTTCTTTTTCAAGATTGTTTTGAATATTCTGGGCCCCTTGCATTTTCATGTGAATTTTAGGATCAGCTTGTCAATTTGTGTAGATGATTTTCTGGTAGATTGCCATGTTAAAAATATGAAATCATATAATCCACGAATATAGTCCATTTAGTTAGGTCTTCTTTAATTTCCTTCAACAATATTGTAGTTTTCAGATTGCAAGTTTTGCACTTTTTAAAAATGTATTGCTAATTTTCTTATTCTTTTTATGCAATTATAAATTGAATTTTTTTTAGTTTCATTTTCAGATTTTTCATTGCTAGATTTTGTATATTGATCTTGTACCCTGCAGCTTTACTGGAATCATTTATTAGTTCTAATAGTTTTTTTTTTTTTTAGTGGATTCCTTAGGATTTTCTGTGTACTAGATCATGTCATTTGCAATAGAGATAGTTTCACATTTTCTTTTCTGGATTCTTTATTTCTTTTTCTGGACTAATTGCCCTGGCTAGAATCTCCAGTACAATGTTGAATAGAAGTGACAAGAGCAGATCATCTTTTCTTAAGGCTGTTCTTATACTGATGAAATTAAGTACTTTATTAACTAATCCCATCAGCTAAATCCATTTGTTGCCATTGGTTGGGGACAGCGTGGCCTGAAGAGTGAGAGGTGAGGGGAGGGACCAATACTAGTTTCTTCAGAACTCAGCCCAGGAGAATTGCAAGTTTTTATTTTTACCCCCAACACTGTTGATGAGGCTGGAGCTCTACCTCTCCAGGGCAGTGGTCTAAAGCCTGGAGACAGAGAGGTCCACACGTATTAAGTATATGAACCTTTCCAACAGGCTATTTTAGTGAGTCCTGAGAACTTTCTCTCAGAACTCAGGCCTCTTCCAAATGCGGTTTATAAACCCAGCAATACACCTGTCAAATGGCAGCCAGTTTTCATGCAGTTAATGTTCTTAATTAAAGTCTAAAGTTTCGTTAATATGACAATTTAGAATCTGTTTTGAGGTCAGTTTGACAATTGGAAATGGTTATATCATAACCCTTTAATCTGACTCCTGGGAATTTAGCCATCCAAAATAATTCAGAAGACAAAAAAAAAAGGAAGAGAAAAAGAAGAAAGGGTTTTAAGATCTTTAAAAGCAGAAGTGATGAGGAAAAACCAAGACTAATTTACATAATTTAAATGTCCAACAGCACTGCCATAATCAATTATATTTTTATATATCAAACATGGATATATGTTGATGGAATGTAATCTAGTTACTAGAAATGACTATAATGTCACTGAAAAGTACTTACAAAATAATGCTAAAGGAAAACAGAACACAAAACTATACACACCAATTACGATGGTATTACACTTCTGAATGCATATAAATAGTTGATAAAGGAACGTAAGAAAATTAAAATGCTGTTGCATAAGAATGACATATAGTTGTGGATAATATTTTAAAATTGTTTATAAATCCTTTTCCAGAGTGTTTTATTGATAAAAATGTAATGTAATCACAGTGCTAATCTGGTCAAAAATTGAGCTGTATTATGAGAAGCAGCACCTGTTCTCATGATTAAAAAAAATCACTATAGTAACATATGATAGCGGGCACTTAAACTGAGACTCTTCAGAATAATGACTATTTCAAATTCTTATTTAAAAAGATAATAATTTCAGTTTTTCCATATTTTTTTCTGATAGAAATGTTCAAAAATACAGAAAAGTGTAAATCTGTAAAAAAAAAATCACTCATAATTCTCAGACAACTACTGTTAACATATTGGTATATGCTTTGTATTCTTTTCTCTGTCTATACATTTGCGTTTATATATTTTTACATAAGGGAGGATTTGAAATAGGCTTAGATTATTTTGTTACCGCTGTTTTATCAGAAAAGTTGATGATACACGTTCTCATATGAGTGTGCCATCCAGAGGTCCCCTTTAGGCAACCAGTTCCTAGGGGCCTGGAATGGGATGAAACAATGCACTCACTGCTTTCTCCCCCCTCTGCTGTAGAAATTGGTGTGTTAGCCAAGACTTTCATTGACCAAGGGAAGCTCATCCCAGATGATGTCATGACTCGGCTGGCCCTTCATGAGCTGAAAACTCTTACCCAGTATAGCTGGCTGCTGGATGGTAAGTGAAGTGTTGTGAGCATTTTGTCTGCCCAGAACTCAGGAAAAGGAGCACTTCCTGGCTATGAACAGACGTCAAGGGTGGTGGTCAGGGGCCTAACTTCTGTCACTCATTACCCTGAGGCCGAGGGCCAGTCACCTCTTCTGGGTCTGGTTCTTTATCCAAATGGAAAGGGGAAGTGGATTGCATGATTTCTAAGCTCCCTTCAGACGTAACTTTAGTTCCTTTTCCTCTCCTTTGAGAATAATTTATGATGAGGGAGGATCACCACAAAAGAAGGAAAGTCCAAGAGTAACTTAACAATAAGCTGTAAACTTTCCCCAGCCAGAGGTGTGGTAAGATTTTTGAGGATAGGTTGATTATTAGTTTCTAATTGTTGCTTTGCTGATATAGAGAGGACACAGATAAGGTTTGTTTTTTTAAAATTGGGATTAGTCTTTCCTTCAAGAGCAGAGTCATAATACCCTTTTTTGGAAGAGAGTATGCTAATCTAGTCTTGCTATTTATACATTCTTTTCTCCAACTCATCCCCATTCCCACCTTCACGGGCAGGCACTCAATGCTGCCCTTGCCAAGCCCCACAGCCCTGTTGTTTACTTTATCCAACAAGAAGGTACACTATTTTCTAATTTGCACAAAGGTCCCAAATGAACTAGACTTGTATCAAGCAGGTAAAGGAAAGGACAAATGGTGAGGCTGGCACAGCACTTACTCTGGGTTATTTGTTGGAGGTAGTATCAGGAAGAAAAAAAATCAGATTTGTTTACACGTCCCTTGACCTTGCCTGCTGTCAATATTTGCACAGTATCTTGAGGACTCAGAAATTCTTGAAACGTTTATTGAGGGTCTTTGGTGCATAGAGACTAAGCTAGACACTAGGTACCATGCGTACCAGGCTTTGTGTATTTGTTCATTACACAGGTATTGATTGAGTGTTGTCTATGTGCCAAAAACTGTTTTAGGCCCCGAACCTAAATGTGAACAAAATCCTTGCCCTCGTGGAATGTACTTCTAGCAGTAGACAAGTAGTAAACAAGTAAACAAAAATTTGGATAAGTACAGATACCAATAAGTACTTTGAGGTAAATTAAAAGTTGATGTGAATAGAAAGTAATGTGGTGGGGAGGTAGCTATGTACTTTTTTTTTTTTAATAGGAAATATAGATACATGGTTCAAAGTTCAAAATTTTATTTTAAAAAGTTTAATGAAAAGTCTTGCTTCTATGGGAGATGGTAGGGGGTTGGAAGCATTCCTATGTGTGGGTGGCCTTATGTGGGTGGAGAAACAGGTAATTTTAGGCTGCAGGAACAGGGTAGACACAAGTGGAGTAGAGATGCTGCCCAGCACAGGAAAGTGGAAAGTCATCCATGAGACCAGCACATGTCATCAGTGGGGGGCTCAGAGGGAATGGGCCAAAGAAGGGGCTGCATAGGAAAGGCCTGGAACGTTGGAGCATTTGTTGGTTTTGGGTTTTTTGTAATTGTTTTATTGCAAAAATACCTTTTCCTTTTAAAGATGTATGAGAGAGACTCAAAGTCCTCAATGATCACATCCCTCATGGATGGCTACTTTTAATTGCTTGGTATGTAATTCAAACAGGCTTTTTTCTATAGTTAGTGATTAGAAAGAAGAACGTACCCTCATATACACACACATCCATATATGTAGTAATATGTTGCTTAACAATGGGGATATGTTCTGAGAAATGCATCTTTAGGTGACTTCGTCATCGTGTGACCATCATAGAGTGCACTTACACAGACCTAGGTGGTACAGACTACTACACACTTAGGCTAGCTGGTGTAGCCTGTTGCTCCTAGGCTGCACCACCACCGTACATGCAGTCCACTGTTGACTGAAGTGTCGTTATTCAGCACTTGACTGTATTTGGTATAAAATGTGAGATAAGGTTCCAGCCCCCACCCCTGCCAAGTAATATCTGGTATTATATTATTTTTCCTTTATATAATACACACACACACACACACACATATCACTTTTTGCATTTTGCCTTTTCCCTGGATTAATCTATATTTAACAGATAGATTTGCCTTATTAAAATAAAAGATGCATAAGCTTGCATTTTGTGTATGTATCATACTAATTAATCCCCTACTGAGGAACATTTGGGTTGCATCTACTTTTTCTCTGTTCTGAATGATACTGTGAAGAATATCCTTATGCTTTTGCTTCTCCTAGTTGAGGGTATTTTGATTCAGCTCTTTTGTTCCAGTGGCTGTTTGGCTCCAGGTTTATGAGTGTAAACATTTTAATCTGAATTATACCAATAGAGAGTATTTTTATTGAGAATTTTTTTTTCAGCACAAACCCCAGGTTATGAGCCTAGGTACTGGGTTAGATGGCTTGTGTTCACATTCAAATTCCACTACTTAATAACTTTGTGAGCTAGAGCAAGTTACTTCTTTTTTTGGAGCACTGGCAGGTAGGGGATCCAAACCCTTGACTTTAGTGTTAACAACACTGTGCTCTGACCAACTGAGCTAATCAGCCAGCCCTAGAGCAAGTTACTTAACCTTGCTGCACCTCAGTTTCCTCATTTGTAAAATGGGAATTATAGCAGTACCTGTCTTACAGTTATGACAGTTAACAGAAGTGATCCCTATAGAACATTAGGCATACAATGCTTTAAAGCACTCAGTAGATTTAGCTATTATATTCCACTTGTTCTCATTGAATATGGTAAAATTGTTTTCATCACGATCCCTTACTTTGGTGTAAATTTTATAATAAATACTGATTTGTTATCCAATTTGGGGTCTATAAAAATATAATAGATTGACCTTTTGCATTACAAGCTTTCTTTAGGGGTTATTTTCCCCAAATTCAGGTTTCCTGGGTATAGTTTTAGCTATTATCATTGTTACTTTAGCATATTATAAGGTCTAGGTCACTGGTACATTTTTCTATGTTTTAATATTAACAAGAAATGTAATTTTTCAGTATTTTTAGCTCTAACAAATCATAGCATTCAGTTTTAACCTTTGTCACCTTTTTTCCCCCCCAAAAGTATGGAAACTATTTATTCATTGTTTTGGGGTTTTGGGGGGGGCGGAAACTCTTCAAATACTCTTTAAATGAGCAAACATTAAAGTAAAATTAAAGACAAGGAAGGCTAATAAAACTGTACTTTCCATTTGAGTGTAATCTGATAAAAATCTGGAAAGCATCTGGAATCAAGTTTTTATCCTCTACCCTAGGATGTTAAACTCCCTTAAAACGATGTAAACAAGAAGACATTCCTTGCATATTTTTTATAATAGTGAACATTTCAAACTAACTGCCCAACAATTAGGGATATGGTTAAATAAATCAGCTCACTTGTCCCTCAGTCTTCCCCTTGTCACTTTTGAAAATGTATTATTTCTACCAATTTAAATTTTTCCTGGAATTCTGGAAAAAATGTCCTTAGTAACAACATTGCAAAGTTAAAAATTTGGGATCAAAATATTATCGTTTTAAAATCCCTAAAATATTTGGGCCTATTTCTGGATTCAGTAATCAGTTACATTTGTCTGTCTCGGGATCTTTGAATGACATTGTTTAAACTACTTTAGCTATCTAACAAAATTGTTTATCTGTTAGAGCTTGTTACTCTGCACTAATATTTTTCTTTTAACTGAACTTTAATATCATTTTGTCCTATCCCAGAAATAGCCTTCTGAGGTTCAGAGTGAAGTAGATGAGATCAGTGTGAGTCCAAAGGCAGGAAAAAGTGGGAGTCCCAGTGAGGCAGCAGAACTCTCCCCTATTCAGAGGAGGGTCAGTCTTTTGTTCTATTCAGTCCTTCAACTGATTGGACGAGACCCACCCACATTAGGGAGGGCAATATGCTTTACTCAGTCAACCATCTAAATGTTAATCTCATACAAAAACACCCAGAATGAAAAATATCTGGGCACCCCACAGCCCAGTCGACACAAAAAATTAACCATCACAGTTGCAGTACAGCTGTGATCCACCTGCCTGGCATTATTCCTCTTGCTCACACTGCCCAACATTAATTCTTTTTCTTTCCCTTTTGTCCTTCCTCCCCTTCCCTCCCTGCCCTCCTTTTTCTTTTCTTTTCTTTACTTTTTTTTAATAAAGGTTTTCCAAGGACACTTCCCCAGGCAGAAGCCCTGGATAAAACTTACCGGATAGACATGGTGATTAACCTGGATGTGCCCTTTGAGATCATTAAGCAGCGCCTCACTGCTCGCTGGATTCATCCAGCCAGTGGCCGAGTCTACAACATCGAATTCAACCCTCCCAAAACTGTGGTAAGAAATTGTGGTGGAACTAACACATAGCAGACCATCCTTGAGTCCTCTTGCCCTCCCAGACATAAGTTTTGTGAATTTGGAAATCCTCCATCTGACCAAACTCTTGAAGGTGTATTCTCAGGTTACTTTGTATAGTCGACTGGTCTAGTCCACTCAGCTTAGTAGAAAGGGTCCAACAGGGGTTTGCTATTCATTCAAAAGCATTTATTGATTTCCTGCTCTGTGTCAGGAAATACATTAGGAGCTGGGGCTGGTAGGGATTTAGGACACCTTGGCTTACAGTTGAGATTCTCAGTCTATAGCTGAATTTTTTAATTTAAAAAAATTTTTTAAAAAATGACTGCTAAGGGGCTCTTAACCCTTGACTTGGTGTTTTCAGTAGCCAAACGGCCATCCCTATATATAGGGATCTGAACCTGTGGCTTCAGCATTATCAGCACCACAGTTTCCCAAGTGAGCCACGGGCTGGCCCAGTATAGCTGAATTTTTTTGTTTATATATGAAACTATTTTAGAGGCTGTTTGGAAAACCTTTTACTCTAAGGAAAAGGTGATTGATACTGTGCAAATGATCCTGGAGTCCCATGGCTCTGTGTCACAATGACGTGTCTTTTGGTTGGATTCAGTTTGCTTAAAAGTTATCACATTTTTGTGCTTGGTGCTTGCACAGAGAAGATGTCTGTCTAAAAAATAGTATAACTGCTTATAAAAATGTCCTTCAGAAATACAGCATTTGATACCAGTCTCTTCTCACTTTTGTTTAGGGCATTGATGATCTGACTGGAGAGCCTCTCATTCAGCGCGAGGATGACAGACCAGAGACAGTTATCAAGAGACTACAGGCTTATGAAGCCCAAACGAAGCCAGTCCTGGAATATTACCAGTGAGTTTGTACTTTTCAGAACTTCTCTTGCATGATGAACCACTGTCAGTTTTTGATTTTCCATACATTACAGTTGAAATGCTAAAATCTGAAGACCCAATTCCAATGGGTTTAAGCGATAAAGGAAATTTATTAGCTTGTGTAGCAGAGAAGTTCAAGAGGCAGATTGAGCTTCAGTCACTCCTCGGTGTGACTGGAGATTTGCCATTCTCTTAGCTTTGCATGTTGACTTTGTCCTCAGACTTCCTGCATGGCTGCAGACATTTTTGCCAGCAACAGTCAGGGCTCCCTCTATCATATAGGGCTGAGGGGTAACCTTTCCCCCAGTGAATGAAAGCCCTGAGCATCACCTAGATTGAACCAACCTGAACAGCCACTGTAATCAGGGAATGCCTGGCACTGTTTTAGGCCTGGGTTACTCCCTATCCCTGAATCGGTCACTGGAGTGGAAGGGATTACACTGATGGGCTCCCCCACCTGGAGCCAGGGGTGAGTCAATCTCATCCAAACTCTGCTATGTAGCAGAGGGAGGGCTGGAATGAAGGTTGGGGAGGCAAACCTAATAATGCCAACTACATGCACCAAAGACGATGGTATAGCACAGAAGAATCTCAGATGGCAACTAAGTTTCAGATCATTTTTTGGCTAGTAGTCTTTAAAAACTTGTATTCTAACATGGTTTTGTATGTTCTTTAGCGGATTTTCATATCACCTAATATGGGAACTATACTGAGTTAATATTTGACTCAGGCTAAGAAACAGTCTAGTCTCCTTATTCAACCCTTCCCTCTCCTTACAGAAAGAACCTCTTGTTTTACCTCTGCCTGTTTTCTCTAATAAAATGAGGGTGAGAATAGCGGGTTGAAAGATTGAGTTAACAAGTATAACTCTTAGAATTGTGCCTGACACATAAGCACCACATAAGTATTAGGTATTGTTATTGTTGTCATAGAGTAAGTACGCAGTAAAACCTGAAGCAATGGTCTCCAAACTGTTCTAATAGTTATTTCTGGAGGGTGAAATTATGAATGAGTTGACAATTCACTTTCTACAGTAACTGTTACTGTAATTCTGTGATTTGTATAATAAACCTGGCTCTGTAGATTAGCATCTCTGTGACCCTGTTGCAAGGTATTTAACATTCATGCCACAAATTCTTATTTGGGGCTGGCTGGTTAGCTCAGTTGGTTAGAGTGCAGTGTTATAACACCAAGGTCAAGGGTTCAGATCCCAGTACCGGCCAACTGCCAAAAAAAAAAAAAATTCCTTATTTGTAAAACCAGGCGATATTAAATAGTACCTACTTTATAGGGTTGTTAAGGGAATTAAGTGAATCTGTGGAAAGACAGAAGCCCTGGCATCTGTTCACTCACTCAGTATCAGCTATTATTATTTACTCTGTTAACACTGTGCTAGTCCCTTGATCCACACAGAAAATTAGACCCAGCCCTGCCAAGCCCCAGAAACTCGCCTTCTATATGTGGGTGAGGCAGAGAGCTGTGTAAAACAGTATTTATCATACAGTGTGATACATGCTTATATTAATCGGGAACCTAATTCACACTAGCATAAGCAAAAGAACTTATTGGTCATGTAACTAAAAAGTCCAAGATAGATGGCTGGGTCCAGGTGTTCAAAAAGTATCATTAGGCCTCAGTCACTCTCAGCTCCATTTTCCTGGGTTGGGTTCAGTCTCAGGTGGGCTCTTCCTGTGTGGCAGCCCCTCAACACTCTGGCTTTCCTCCTGCCAGTTCAGCTACCCCAGCAGAAAAGATAGCCTCTTTTGCCAGTAAAAGTCCTGGGTTTGGCATCAGTTAGCTTTTATCATGTCCTCCCTTGAAGATGGGGAATAGACAGTCCAACCTGAATTCAACCTGAATTCAACCTCATGGACTGAATTTGGTGGAGAGGTGATTCCCAAAAATAACTACAAGAAGAGAGAATTCATTGCTATTGGGCAGATACCACCACCACTGCAAGAGCTATGAATAGAGGCAACTCCTGAATGCAGTGGAAGTACCGTGGCTGTAGGGATTAGTTCTGTCAAAACGTGGGAAGGGAAGTTGGGAAAGTCTACAGAGATGAAGTGAATGACTCACATCCCTATCTTAGGAGATATCCTAGTCTTTCTAGGCTTCTTCTGGCTTTTGCTACCTCTTGCTGTTAATTCAAGCTTTTCTTTCTAAGTTCCTACATACAGAACTAGGGCTGGACTTAACTAAAAATTGAAAGTGGTATTTGTAAGAACCTTAGTTAATAGTCAGCATTGTTATTTTAAAATAAACAGGTGTCTGACAGGCCTTGTTTGGAAATCTACTACCAACTTGGTGATGTGGGCTAAGTTACTTTACAAAAGAGAATTTTATCAGTAAGAAAATTTGAGCTTTGGAAAAAATTAAATATCATATGCAAAGCATTTAGCACAGGGTTTAACATGCAGTACATGCTCAGTAAATGATAGGTGCTATTAGTTTTTTAAGTGCCCATTTCGGTAAGCCAGAGGGCACAACTGAAACTAAAATCTAGGCTTTCCAATGCCAGCCAAGTGCCTTTCTCCCTTGATCACACAGACCTATACTTACCAAGACTCCTAAATCCACATTATCATCTTTTACAGACAAGTTCTGAAAAAGCTCATTAGGAAGATTCAGACCTTTTATTTTGTTTTTGTTTTTCATCTTTAGGAAAAAAGGGGTATTGGAAACATTCTCGGGAACAGAAACCAACAAGATCTGGCCCTATGTATATGCTTTCCTACAAACAAAAGTTCCACAAACAAACCAGAAAGCCTCAGTTACTCCATGAGGAAAAATGTGTGTAACTAGTAAGATAAGCAAAACTTCCTCGTCCTTGCATTTAGAAGTCCCTTTTCCTAAGACTCGACTGTGTATGAATTGTTTGAAAATTATATTACTTTCATTTCTACTGATTTTTATTCTGGATACTAAGAATGTGCCAAATGAGTCAGATACTAGGATTCATCTTTTGAAATCACCTAGTGTGTTTTATTCAGTTACCTCCTATAGGTTTGCAATTCAAAAATATCAGAGACATCTAAACTTTTAAAAAATGTTAGAACAAAATGAAAAGAGCAATTGATAGTAATCATTTTGTTCAGTAATAAGTGGTTGATAAGATTTCCATATTTTTCTGGAAAAGTTCAAAAAATTACATGTCATTTGGGGAAAATATCTCATCCAAAGCTTTTGCATAGACTGATGCCAAAAAAGACATTTCTAGCACTGTGGGACATGGTTTAGTGCGACACTGTATCTATAAAATTCCAGAAAAAAAGCAACTGGATTTACAGATCTGTTGCCAGATGCAAATTTACTGCTGCCTTTACACTAAGAAACTTATAAGCTAGCCACATGGGGGGGTCTTCAAAAAGTTCATAGAAAGATTTGTATTATCTTTTAATTCCATTTTTCCATGAACTTTTTGAAGTACCCTTATATATACTGTATTTATTTAGTTGTTAAACATACCTTCAGTCTATTCAGAATTTTCAGTTAACATATGAGAAAATACTACTTTAGTGTGACTTGTTTTCTTTTAAAAATACATGTGTACCAAGGGATATGACATGTCAGAAATTGACATAATAAGTTCCTGATAAGCACCAAAGTTGAATAAATTAAAGTCTATGTTTTCATGGTACTCAGGTTAAGAAATGTTTTTTAGGATCTACTTGCCAGTTTCTCTTTTGATCTAAATGTATGATCTGCCTTGATAAATAATAAGTTATAGTACAAAAAATAATATTAAAGAAAAAAATTAAGAATAAGAGAAAACCTACAGCACTATGTAAAGTAAACATACTTTGTCATTAGGAAATAGAAATAGATTAGACATGCTTGGGGAATGGGGAATATTCCCTTGACATAAGTAGCAGTTATAATTAGTAAACAGGTATAGCAATAAAAAGAATTTACATAAGTTGAAAAGGACCAGGAAGGTAACTGAGTTTCCTGGATGAAGGAGTTCTTTATTCCTGATCAAAGAAATTGATGCCTACTACCATTCACTGCCACCGTATCGTAAGAGGGAAAGAACTCTGCTGGTGAGTGTCATCTGAGCAGCTATTTAAAAATCTAAATCATTTTAGATTCCTTAGTGAGACAACAAGGATGTATGCTTACATACTGTGGCCTGGTAGGAGAAGTGGGACAATATGAGAGGTAGAAGAAAAACCCAGCTGTATCTTCGATGGCATATTTACTCTTTACTTGGTGCTAAATCGAATGAAACAAGCCCTTGTACACATTGTTATTAACTGCCTTAAAAAATTTGGACCGTTTTATTCCAAGCACTTAAAATACAAATGCCAGCAACTGGTTCTGATGCATTTTGGGGAAAAAACATATTTTCCTTTCCTTTTGATTTTTAAAAATTCATTATTGATCTTTCAAAATGGACCAAGGATTTTTAAAAAGATTAAACATTTCTTTCTTTATAAAATTTTCTAATGCCTTATTTTAATATTAATATTATATGCTTTCTAAATATGTTAACTACTAAACTTATGAATTATCACTAGGTTATCAGGCATACATTAGTCTTTATTAGAATAAAATGAAGTTTCAGAACTGTGGATATTACTTTGTCTTTGTCCTTCATAGGGCCTGTTCCATCTCACCTTCCTTTCTGCTGCCCTGATGTCTCACTGGCTCCTGAATGAGTGACTGTGTTCTAATAAATTGTCTTAAAACAGTACATAGGCTAGTTTTGTTTTATGCAATTACTCTATCTCCTACTATAATTGTAGCCACACAGGCCTTTATGACACCCTTTGATCTGGAAATCAAAAAGAGAGTATCGTACTACATATGGCTAGCCCGGGAAAAGATCAAAATTCAAAACTCAAAGTACGGCTTCTACTGAATGTGTATCGCTTTCATAGCATTGTAAAGTTGAAAAGTTGTACACTGAACCATCGCTAAGTCAGGGACTGTATCAACACCAAATCGTTAAGTACAAACATTGCATTATGTTAAATTGCTGTAACATTTGCAACCAAAAGCAAGAATAAATTTGTATTTTAAAATATGTTTATAAGTTGTTTCTTCTCATTCACAAAAGAAAATATCCTTAGACACTAATAAACTACAGAAATGGCTTTCCTGTCTTTGCAATTAAAGGTTTTCATCTTGGAAGTTACGGCTTAAAAATTTTAAACACAGTTAAAATAGTATACCTGTTCTTAAAGCTTTTAGTAAAAGCCAATATATTTTGTAGAGCCTTTAACCCCCTCTCTCCTGCCTTTTTTTTTTTTTTTTTTTTTTTTA